ACAAATAAAACGCAATTGGAACTATTGGTGCAATTAATGGATTCCCAACCGGGTACCGCTCGTGGTTTCTTCAAAGGCGGCAAGGAAGAGTTGGCAAAATTTTGTCGATCAGCAGAAATAAAGCTGAACAGTGCAGGTCCACCAATGAAAACTGTTGCCGAATGGAAAAAGGTACATAAGTGTACCGATTTGTTGCATATTTCAATAAAATTTTTATTACAGGTGTGGGTGGACCAAAAAAAATATGTTAGGCACAAGGCGGCGCAAAATGGAAGAGCCAGGACTGGCACAGGCGGGGGACCAAACACTGAAAAGAAATTTACGGCGACCGAAGAGGCAATTTAAAAACTTATAAGTATGAAGGAGTCCGTGGAGGGTATAGTCGTGCCCAAGTTTGGGTTGCAAGCGGAACAAGCTGAACTCACGATCGATTCAGATGAAATGGATGTAACGCAAATTTTGCTAGGTAATGTGCAGTATTATACTTTAATCTAGTGAATTATTACATTGTAGTACACATTGGATGATCTAGAAGAAAATGCTCCTCGCAACACGACCGCGGTAACTGATCATTTTGCATGCATCAAAGAAATTCCTAGTCAAAAATCTCCTAAAAAACAAATGAACTCGCTGGAATTGATTGGTGAAGAAACAGAAATACAAAGAGATTTATTTGAGAAAGTAAGAAAAATATATAAATCAATAGATAGTCTTTACAGTCTACAAAAAAAACATTTTGCTGCGGTTGAGAAAATTAAAGAAGATAAATTTAAAGAAATACAACGCCACAATTACTTGATGGAAGAACTAAGGAAAAGAGAAATTGAAAATAAAATTGAAAAAACAGACGAATTTTGGAAATTGAAGAATTAAAGACTACTTTAAAAATGTAGTGAAGACTTTACATTTATTTATGTAATTAATGATCCATGTACCTACATAATTTAAATATGAATTTAAGTTTGAGTTAAACTGTTACTATAAATACCAGAAGTTACTTTTAAATTAATTGATTTTATTTAATTATTTGATATTGTAATTGCGAATGATGTGCACAATATTGTACAAAATTTATATACATACATAATGTACACTTGTGATCAGCTATCAACAATCAGTCATCAACAATTTGATCAATTTTGCTATTTCTTTTGTTTATTTAATGTTTATTATTTTTCCATAAAAGTCTAGCTCATATAAACCCAAATTTCAAACTTTGTGCGAAAATTATAAAAAATCAGCAAAGTTTCAACTAAATTTTTAGAATTTAATAGCCCATTAAATTCCAGGGTAATAATGTGCAAGTTTTAAATAGCTGAAGAATCGCGTTGATTTTTAATATTTTTTTTTCTTTCAAAATATATTCGACAGAAAAACAATTATTCAAAATCAACGCGTTTCTTTAGCAACTTGAAACTTGCACATTATTATCCTAGAATTTAACGGGCTATGAAATTCTAAAAAATCTGAATAAAAAGTTGAAAATTTATCTGGAACTTTGCAGATTTTGTATAATTTTTGCACAAAGTTTGAAATGTGGGCTAATATGGTGTTTGTTATATAATGACCTAGACTTTTATGTAAGTATAATTAACATTAAATTAATAAAAGAAAAATAGCCAAAATTGATCAAAATGTCGATGACTTAATTAGCTGATCACAAGTGTATGTACATACATA